AAAAGGTTGTGATATAATAACGTTTCAGTATTACAAATTACCATGACTTCCGTTCCCGCATGTGATGATGACACAGTCCCTGCAGGTAAAGTATTAAATCTCTCGCTCACCAATCATTCTCCACAAGATTGTGGTTACATGTAGGCTACCACGCCGAAAGCTTAAGCCTTGTCATTACATAATATTTTTAGTTTAGGTGATTAACAACTTCAACCCCATTACTGTTATTACACGATGTTTAATGCCTGTCAAAGAAACCTTTCCTTAAAGGTACAGCTCTGTTGTTTCAATGCAAAAATTGTCCTGGTGAATGAACAGTTTAAACAACTTTAAGGTGGATTGGTCTAAAATAGGAACATTTGCTATAGGTATTTCAAAAATTGATAAATACAATAAAAAAATGTATCATTTGGATATTCTTACTTATATAATATTAATTAAAGAACTTCAATAACCTATTATATTATAATGGTACGATCGATTAATGTAAACGATGGCGACCAATCAGGAAACGAAGGAGAGATCGAAAGTGAGGAAATAGGCGAAGAATAGGAAACAGGTCAAAGGTCCTTGTGTAAATAAAAACATTGTCACATGGAACATTTGCGGTTTAAAGAAACATGTACATGACTACAATTTCTTAAATTATTAACAGAGGTTTGACATTATTTGACATTATTGGTTTTAGTAGAAACTTGGAATGATGTTGAAAATGAATTTCCAAATATTTTGTATGGGTACACGTGTTTCGATAATGTATGTTTAAAATGTTCTGGCTCTTTACGTAACAGCGGTGGTGTTTCCGTGTATATTGAATCGCACCTGATAACAAACAATTTTATTTCACGTATATGCACTGACTTAAACGATTGTATAGTTTTATATATTAAAAGTGCTTTATATAGATCCATGCAGGATATTATTTTATACATTGTTTATGTTTCTCTTGAAGGGTCATATATTTATGACAAAAAGTCCGAAAAACATGGAATTAAAACCATTAAAAGTAATATTGAAATATTAAATAATATGTATTCAAATGTATATCTATACTAAGGTGGGGATTTCAATGTACGAAAGGATTTGCTTAGATTAATTGTACCATATACATGTGTATATTAAATAAGAAAATGATATCTTTGAAATTTTAAAATAACAAACTATTGGAATTATTTATTTGGAAGTAATTTCGATTCTAGACTCCTATTTAAATGGTTGTTTGTAAATATGTTTGCAGTAATTTTACCAGTCAACGGATAACACGATAGCGGGAAACCATTACGTCATCCGAATGTTCAAAATGGCTGCTCGCGACAGAAGGGGCAGATATCCAAAACTACTTTGGTTAAGAAAGCGTCTGTAGAGCGTAATTATTTGGAAATCGACCACAGTTATACAGATACGTTTATCTACCTTAATACAGAAATTGATTATGATTTAAGACCATTTTGAAATTTCTAGAAATAACAAAGATATTGAGAGATATAATTTATTTGGGAGATCTCTTGTAGAATTATGTTGTATTCATAGTATCCATAGTTTATGTCGTTTGTACAACGATGTTGCAGGTAATTTTACTTGTTTAAATTACAATGGAGCAAGTGTTGTTCAATATCACATTGTCTCGTCTGATATTTTTTCTCATATAAGTTATTCTAACGTTGAAGAGAGTCATGAATCAGACCATTTAACAGTTAGTTCAATATTCACTTAAGAGCGGTGGCAATCATTCTTTAGATATAACAATGAAATCGAAACCTCTAACTAATATAAGGTTCATGTCGAAAAATATAGATGAAATGATATGCATACGGCGGATTTCTTACAATATTTACCGCGGAGTATACGAGTATACGAGAGAATTTACTTAATAAAATAGATCTTAGTATTGACCATGCAGTTAATCATATTATTAATATTTAAAATTAAAAAAAAAATAACCAGCAAAGATGCGCGTTAGATATTTAGCGCGAAATTATCTAAAAAGTAATCGACCCTGGTTGGATCGATAATGTGAAACAACTAAGCAGATTAAATATGCAGCTCTGCGATGATTTCGCTGGACTAATAACATAAATGACTTTCAACAATTTGTAGCGCTCCGAAAACGTTTTAAAAAAACGTAATATATTAAAAGTATCTTTACCAAAAGTCTAAGCGCGATCTACTCATTACGTTACCATCAAATCCCAAAGCCTTTTGGAAACTAAACTATTAAAATCTAGAAATAGTAATATAAATGAACAATCTTCATTGATAGATACGGGAGCTTGGTTTGATTATTTCCATGAGTAACTATTTAAAGTAACCAGCCTAATATATATGAAAATAATTGGGACTTTAGAGTTATTACTGAAGAGGAAAATCTGTATTTAAATTAAAAGTAGAAACAAACTGAAATGGGGAAAAGCAAAGGGAAGTGATGGCATTAGAGCAAGATTTTTATACAAATACTTCGTCATAAATCGCACCTGTTCTTTGTAAATTGTTTAATAAGGTATTAAGTACTGGGGTGTTTTCAGACATTTGGAGGGATAGTATAATAGGACCCGTTTACTAGTCTGGGCTTCAGGATGACCCCTCAAATTATATGTTATGTATAAGATATTTTCTAATATTATATATGAAAGGTTATATAACTGGGTAGAGAAATTTGATAAAATAGATGAAACTCAAGCCGAATTTCGAGTTGGTTACTCTACAATTGATAATATTTTTATATTACAAAGTATGGTACAGAAAACTATTCGTAAATTTTATGTCCTTTATGTAGATTTTAAATTTAGCATTTGATGGACTTAAACAATACTATAAACCGATGTGATCTTAGAGGGAATTTATCCCGTGTTCTTATATCAATGTACTCAAAATTCCGGGGATGTGTACAAGTTAGTACTACCAGAACTAAAAAAAAGGGAAGGGGACGTAACGAGTACGATTATGTTTAACTTGTATATAAATGAGTTATCTCATTTCCTGCGTAGTAAGATCAAATTCCCAATACTATATGCATTCTTTTCGCCGATGATGTTGCTAATTGTGCCGATACTGCGATCGAACTTAAGTCTCAGTTAAATTCAATTACAGAATTTTGTTTTAATACCGGAATGTCTATAAATGAAAGTAAAACTGAAATTATTGTGTTTCGAAATGGGGGACCGCCCAGATCATATGAAAAATTGCTTTACAACGGCAGTGCAGTAAATGTAACCTCAATGTACACATATATGGGTTTTTAATTTACATCTTAATCATCTGGGACAAAAGTAAAAACTAAACTTGCTGCACAAGCTAGGAAATCTATTTATACTATTAAATCATATCAAAGAAATTTTGGAAAGTTCTTACACTCTGATTATTTTTAATTATTAACCTATACTTACCTATGGTGCCGAAATTTATGGAAATGAAATCTCTGAAATTCTTGATCAAGTTCAAATAAAATATTGTCAAGATTATTGCTTTTAACTTGTTGAAATTATGAAAATTGTTGATAACTAAATAAAATATAATAAATAGGAAAACATGTCATAGATAACAATGTGTATTGTAGACACAGCCAAATATGCATATCTGCTCTAATTATACGAGTATTGTATATTTTGGGCCGGCGGCCTTTATTAACAAAATGAAATGTTGTTTTTATTGTTGTTGTTGTTGTTGTTATTGTTATTTTTCCGTTCTCCCAAACTATTTGCTATGTTTTTCAGCCTTTGTCCAACGCGTCACTTCATATTAAATGACACATTCTGCTACAATGAATGTATTTTTAAATGTAAGCAGAGTCTTGAACGTTTCCAAATAATCCTTTAGCTATATTATCCTTGTTTGAGGACGTCGACGACATGTAAGAGGGGATGGAATGATGGATTAGTCAAACTATAAGTCATTAAATCAAACCCAAGAAAGACGTACATGTACTAACATTTTAAGAAAATTAAAAAGAAAATCAAAGATTTAAGTATTAATTTACATGAAATTTGCGATTTATAATTGATTTTTCAGTATTTATAACCGTATTTCTACTGCGTAACTTATGCAGTAAAGGCTTTTTAAAACATATTTTACCTCATTTTGGTAATTTACGTGGGTTGTGAGTGGTGTTGTTTGTAATGTACAAATTGCTTTTTTGGTTACTTCACAATTTTTTACTTTTAAATACATGTCAAAAATTTTCACGAAAATGAGCATGAATCTGGAGATGTGTTGCTTCAAGTGAAACTTGAATTTGTTGAACTGAGAGGATGGTGTACACACATTGTCATATATCATCGTTTTTACAATATATTTTTATTATTATTTTATACATTCGAATATAAGGAATAGAAAAAAGGTAGTGAGGAAGGAATTCAAAGCTTGAAATCACGCAGTTACACATTTGCGGATTTCAACGTTTGTCCATTGCTATATGATTTATTAGTATATAATATAGTCACTAACTATAGTTAACATTTCTACGCCATATATAAATCCTGCCGACAAAACCTCCAAATTTGTCCTTTATCCGGAGCTTGGCGGGGATTTATTAGTGTACGTTATGTGTCAATGAATACCTAGAGGTTCTGGGTTCTTTTCACATTATCAAAATGCACTATTTTTTAAAGTGTTGTAATGTTTCGACGGAAATACACACACTGACAATTTAATTACACTGACTACTTTCCTCTATACGGCAGACGCTATATTTAACAAGGCCTCCGAACAATAAGAGCTATCTTCATCACAAAAACGGCTAACGAAAAATTACGAAGATCACACAAAACTTAACAATTATAGCCAACTCATTTTAACGAGCTTTATGAAGTCAGTTACTCTATTACTTTGTATGACAAAGACAATCTAAAAGTTCTCTTTATTGGAATAATATACATGTTTGTTCTGTTCATAGTGATATATTTATTACATGCAACTTATTAAAAAGTTTTTTTGAATAACCAAACTTCCCCCAACTCTTAATAATATGATACATATTATAAATAAAAAATTGTCGTACACTTCTTTTTCATGGACATGCCCTATAAAGAGAAATATCACAACTGTAAAGTACGTTCACAAGTGCTGAATTAATTTTAAAGCAAAACATAAAAAAGTACAAACAGTACAATAGAAATGTAGACTAGAACATTTCTCGAGACTGAATATAAAAGTAAATCAACTATGATTTATTCACATAATAATAATTGTACTATGAATAATGATAAAAAAGCTCGGTCTGCCTTGAATTAAAAGATGTACTGATATTTACAACTTGAACTCCATGGTGGCATCTTTTTTACAAACAACAATCTGTTCGGATTGAGGATTCAAAGCATACCATTTACCGCCCCAGGGACTTATTCCTGCACAATTACCTCCAATACCTCCGTTAGAATGACCATCCGCAAAGTTTCTGAAATATACATTTATATGATATTTATTTATGATAACAAGTTTTCTTTGGTATTATCACCAATGTTTTTATAAAGTGATCATGCGCTGCATACTACATTGATAAACTAGCATATGTGTTACCTTAAAGCTCTGTAAGTAACATAAAGTACATAAATAATATGTACTGGTATTTTAAATAGGTCGCATCTTCTTTGTTTTCTTCCTGTTTTTGTCTTTCGATTTATCATTTGGTTTGTGAATGAATTAGAGCGCAATTTTGCTTTTTGTAATGTAAATTAAAGAAAAAAACTTTAGCATACGGTTCTGCTCTCCGTCTCTAAATGTACTAGACATATGCAAACATTTATGTTATTTATTGCCCTAGTCTCTGCTATTTATCATAATGTGTCTTCTACTTTTATGGAATATGGGACCTTGAGTCTGTACGGATAACCTTTTTGTACAACGATTTTGCCTGTAAGCAAAAGATCAGCTTTTAGCAAATTTAGATGTGGTGTAGCACCAATTCGTATAGAAACCGGAAGATTTGAAAATCTCCAGGTAGATAGACGTCTATGTCCATTTTGTCATGTGGTAGAGGATGAAACTCATGTAATACTAGAATGTCAGTTATACAATGATTTAAGAAATGTACTTTTTGAACAAGCTCCAGTTGCTGTTAACAATTTTATCGACCTGAACAGTGATGAGAAATTAAAAGTTATATTTAGTAATACTAATGTAATTAGAGTTAGTGCCAAAACCTCCTTCCAGATACTACAAAGAAGGAATTTGTTTATGTGTAAATAGGATGTTTTAATCCTGTTATTAAAGTAGTAGAAATGTAACAATAGTAGTGTACATAGTACATAATTTTTAACAGCAATTAGTTTTATATTTTATAATTGAAGATGTAAAACAGATATTTTTGTTTTATTTTGGTTGTGAAGGAAGATTTAACTGTGGCAATGATATAGCAGTACATTGCCACAGTGTATCGACATTGAATATTAAGACATATTGTGTATAGACTTGATTTAAATGGTTGATTTTTAGGCTGAGTTTAGTGCAGTTTGTTTGTACCCTACTAATGTTATCTACACTGGCACACAAATGTATCATGCTGGAAGGCGATCACCCTATACAGTCAAATATATCCAACCAACCAATTATTGTTAATATTATTCATTAGACTGTCATTTAAGGTAGTGCAGAATAATGACCTTTCACGCACCATATTCTACCATGTACTTATTTGGTTATGCATCATGTACAATCTTGTACTTATTGGGACACATACCATGTTCAATCATGTACTTATTGGATCACACATCATGCACAATTCTGTACCTTGGGTCACACACCATGTTTAATCATGTACTTATTGGAACACACATTTAGCATAATCATGTACTTATTCGAATATATTAGGTCACACACCTTTCACAGTCAGGTGCTTTTGGGGTTACAACCTTATACTCCATGATATATGCATTCATTTGGAACATTATTACTCTTTTACTGAATAATGATAATTATACAGCAATGCTGGGTACATGTATGCTGCACTAAACTTACGCTTTTGTATGAACATACTTGGCCTCACTCACATCACAAGTAAATTGCAGTAGTATTGTCACAAATATTCTGGGCATTATTGTTTTAAGTATATTGTTTATTTATGAAGGAATAAGCAAAAATGTATGTTATATATACATGTAACTTGGTTATAAAGTAAATTGGATTTTAGCTATAGAATATATTTTACCAGTATCATCATGTTTTTAAATGTCTCTTATAAATCTATCGAGATTGGTCCAACATGTTTTTTTAATTGATTGCACATTGTGATGTATTGTATAATTATATGACATGCTTGGAATGAGACAATAAACTGTTAAAATATTTATGGAATATGGGACCTTGAGTCTGTACGGATATCAAATATATTTCAAAAAGAAGAAATATCAAAATATGACGAGATGTTGTATTTCTACCTTGACATACATTAGTTATTTGTTTCCAAGACTACCGTGATCGAAAATACTTCTCGTCAAAGAAAAGTTAATGGATGTATCAATTATCCAATCATTAACATCGTTACCTGTTATAATTGTATCTTGTAGAAATGTACAGACTGAAAGCAAGAAAGTTATGTATATATATAACTACTAAAATGATTAATTAATCAGTCATATCCTCTTTATTTTATGATTTGAGTATAGATTAAGATGAGATCATATCAACGTACGTGAAAGAAGCAGGTTGGCCAGTTCTTCCTGAGATCCAAGTACCCTCTTTCTCCTCATCAGAGTAACCAATCCAAGCAAAATACGAATAATCATTAAGGTAATCAGCAATAAAAGAATTCTCTGCTTGATTCTCAATGTCAGGCAACGTTGCTTCTAGACGTTTACAATAAGCACGTGCTTCATCGAATTTCATTCTATCTTTGGGAAACAAATAACAATATGATGAATATTTTTTCCAGTCTGATGGACATGTATAATCATATTTTACCACGTTTGTAGACATTAAAGCATTTAAAAGGTTAGTTTGAGTTTCCTTTAAAGCTTCTATTTCTTTCTGTTGCGAACTTATTAACATGTCTGTTTTGTTTATTTTTAAATATATATCGGATTTTATTTCTTCATTCACACCTATTAATTCGGTTCTGAGTTCTGAGAAGTTATTGTTGAGCTGATCAGTTTGTTCATGTACTTGACTCGTAAGGTTTTTCACTTGATCTTTTGTCCATTGTTTCTCTCTTTCAGCTTTGTCTATCGTATCAGTTCTAAGCTTCGAGTAATTCTTGGTTAACTCGTCATTGTGTAAATGAATCTGATTTGTAAGGTTTAAGAACTGTCTGTCTAACCGATCGGAATGTTCACCCATTTGAGTAGAAAGTATTTTTACTTGATCTCTTGTCCATTGTTTCTCTCGCTTTAGTCCTAAGGTCATCATTACTCGACTTGACTGTAGAATTTCAACATTATTTTCAGAATCACTCTGATCCTCTTTTACTCCACGTTGGTCCATAATGGGGCACTTTTGATTCTTACGAGTGATCATAGAACTGTTAATGTCCTCAAAATTTTGTTGGAGCGATAAAAACATTTCTCTTGCCAGTTCATTGTCAGAATTCATTCGTGTTTCAACCACACCAATTCTTTTTTCGATGATATCAACTCTTCCTCTTAAAGGTATTCCATTTACCATCAAAACACATAATAATAAAAAACACAAATAGTTCACTATATATCCTGTTAAATTTAGCATTTTTTATTTTTGTTTTAAAAAAGAGTATTTTGAAACTATGATTTGAAAGTTAATGTAATTATCATAAAGAACAGGTTGAAGAACAGAAATTACTTTGAATTTTCTTTAGCAACTTCACCGAATATATATGATATTGTTATAACTACTTTCAATTTGGCAGACATTCAATCTAACACAAATTGAAATTATCGGAATACCGTATTTATCCAAAATTCTTATTGAAAGAGAAAGCAAAACACCAACATGTATTGGAGACATAATCTACTATAAGACAACTCTTTCTGGCATATCATATGACACATAATCTGTGACGTTATTCATTTTTTTGCGTTGTACCATATGCCGTGTTGATTGTCAAGTGTCGCTTTTACATAGTAAAAATCAACTTTCACTGCGGCACAAACCGGATTCCGTAGTTTCTTGTTTACATCAACATCATAGGAAATCATTTAAATAGGAAATGCAGCCAATAATAGCAACACATTTAGAGAGAACAGATATAAAACGTAAATCGCCTTGAATATTCTAAAACGTTATCGAAAAAACATTCAGATGAAGAAAGCTTATCTTAGAACCTTGAGTGTTTATGTTAACAATTCGGTATTGTTGTTTTTGTGCATAACGGAACGGGTTATAAAGGAAGGTAGAAGGTGTACATAGTTATTTTATACGAACTGCTTATATCAAGTACTTAAAATGTGTCATTATTTAAATCACAAGAAAATGTATATGCATTTAAAGACAATCTTTAACGTTTTTGATTTTTTTCCTTACTCATAACAGTCGCAGATTATTTTTTATCAGTCATGCAATTCCAATTCTTTTAAAGCATAATTTAAATTACTGTAATGCATAATGTCTTTACTTATGAGGCTAGTATTTCTTTTATAATTATGCCTCAATTCTATTACTTCAATGCCTAATTTCTATGATTGTAATTCTTAATTCTGTTATTATTGTGCCTAATTTCTACATGTATTTCTACTACTATAATGCCTAATTTCTATTATTATAATGCCTATTTTCTATAACTATAATGCCTTATTTCTATAAATGTAATGTAATTTCTATTATTCTAAAGCCTTATTTATTAATATTATAATTCTTTATTTCTATAATGATTACTAAATAAAATTATTTATATAATATTAAAAATAATAATAATATAATTATTAAAAAAACGTCGAAAGCTGAAGAAAAGCGTTTGTTTTCATGGAATGTTATATACAAGTATAATCCCTAATTTCTATTACTGTGATGCCTACTTTCTATAATTGCAATCCTTAATTCTGTTATAATATTGCCTATTTTCTATTATCATGATGATTTATTTCCAATTAATGTAATCAAGCGTAATTTCTGTCATTGAAATATTTTGATTTGTCATGTATTTCCGTCAAAGATGTGTTTGATTGTCATAGAAATATATTGTTCCCGTAAAGAAATGCATCTTTCTGTCATAATATATGTAACGATCCGTCAAAGAAAATCCGAATGCCAATTCACATATGAAGCGTGTATAATAAAACACTTAGTTGTAGATTCTAGAATTCTACCTTCTGATTCGACGACGTTGTTGCAGAAATTAACCGGTAAACATGTACTTCAAGCTATAAATGCTATAAATGACGATTCAACAAAATTGAATTATATAATTGGCTGGGTAAAACAGTAAAATAACAGTTTATTTACACAATGATAAAAAAATGTAATGAAATAAGCTTAACCCAGTCAATATACATTATATACAATATGCACAATAGAAGGTGGTGCATACAGAGCAAAAGCCATAACACATATAAATGTATAAATTGTTGCATGCAAAGCATACGAATAAGTGCAAAAGAGACATAATAAAAAATAATGAGTAGCCACAGGTGGGTGGTGGGGAGATAGTGGTTAAAATGGTGTAATTCGGTGTGTGTAACACGAGAAATTTTCAAGAAGTGAATCTCACATGTTTGTTACTGACACGCCAAGGGGAGTAACTCAATTAACATTCTAGATTTTGAAGAAATCATTTATCTCTCTTGACTGAAACACCAACAACTACGATAGTTTAAAAAAAAAAACTTAGCATTTCAAATTTTAGTTTTGCAGGTGAGCATAATCAGACACTGAAATGAAACCAATAAGTATAATACTAAATAATCTCTAGTAAAATAGAGAGAAATAACGAACCCCAATAAAGGACGCAACGTAAGCCTTAAATAAACAGATGCTGGAATTAACATCCTCAAATTTGTTGCGGCGATTCTTTTACAAATAAATCTATATATGTTTTTACAAGGCGCATAATTCCATTTATTGTAAGAACCTTCTTATCCAGTTGCAACGCAATTTTGCCGTGTTCCTTCCCATCAGGTTGTTGAAAGCATACATATTATATAATTATATTTGTAAACAAAACAATGATTTAAACATTTCACCGACGTATATACAGAGCAGGTCATCACCTGACATTGTGTTTACGGAACATTGGATCACTGCTAATGGCGGCGTCCATTACTCTAAACGTAATTTGCTATTTTTATATTATATCATGCAATAATTGAATATTTCTTTAAAACATATACTATGTTCCAGGCAAATATTTGTCGGTTTTAAAGATACATAACTTTCCATTGCAGCTTTTCTACTTTTCCGATTATGCTCTCAGATCATTTTTATATGAAAATATGTGGTAACATTGTGTCGGGCATACAAGCATAGGATCAAGTGCAACTTAAGAAAAATACGTTCCAATGGAATCTCACGAAATACGTTCCAATAAACATTGGTCCTATATTTCCACATTATCATTGATTCTTAAACAAAACTTGCATAAATACTGGCTCCAATATTTTGACACCAAGCTGGGGTTCTGATAGTCCAAAATTAAAATCAAATCATTATAGGTGGCATTGCCCGCTTAAAAGCTTTATCTCCTAACAGTTGTGTATTGTTTCATAATCATATATTACGGTATATACAGACAAACGTTTTGCAGATGTTTTCAATCCCTGTGTGTTTAATAGTAAAGTTTTATAAATGTTTAGTCTGTTTCCAAGCTTATTTTGCAAATAAGTACATGTATATATTTTACAATGAATAGTCTGTTTCAAAGGTTATTTTTGTATGAGTATGATTATTATGTATGAAATAGTTAGCCATTGATGCCGTGTGACCTTTATACTCATATATATCGGTACCGTTGGCCTAGTGGTTAAGGCATCTGCCTGCGGATCGGGAGGTCGAAGGTTCGAGCCCCACGGGGAGCGTTTATTGAAGGATGAATGTTTCTCGTGGGACTCGATCCGAAATAGCCGCTTCGTGAGCCGCGAGGTTGTTAAAATGAATGGTTACCTATTTCTATCCGCCTGGCGCCTTGCATAGTGGTAGGAGGTACATCGCATGCAAGCAAAAGGTGTCTCATAAGTCAAAATGGCTGGCCCTTTCAGTAGGGGTGACACTATAATAAACAAGACCTTTACCTTTTATATCGTAAATAGGTTGCCCCATGGAACAGTCCGGTCTACTGGATTTGTGGAATAAAAATACATATAGACTGAAATATGTCACCTTCATTTTCTTTAGTTAACGCTCAAATATGTACATGTAACCAATATGATATATTTAAGGTTGTGAATGTTTGATGCGTTGATATCTATCATTTTCATTTCTCTCAAACTATCTGTTTTGTTTTTCAGAACACATCTGTTGTCGTTAGGTAAACTTGATATTGAATAGCACATTTTGCAACAAATAATGCATATTAATATGTAAGTATTTTGAACGTTTTCAAATAATCCTTTAGCTATTTTGGAATGTTTACATATATCAGTACGCTAGCAAGTATTCATACAAATAGATAAATCAATAAACAGTACACGTCCCTTTATCACAACTGAAATATCATTGAATGAAGTCATAAAATGTCCAACTCACACTTAAGATACTATTATAGCTTTTTTCTCCTCTGTTTAAAAGTAGAGGCAGGCGCCGGTTGTTTTGTACGAACCATCGGCCTTCAATTAAGGTAAATGGTATAAGCTTATATACATATCAATGATCTGTATAGAAGCGTATATATCATTTAGCTTAATCGAAGGCCGGTGCTTTATTCATATAAACAGTTAGTTAACGGCAATATATGGCAAGCGTTCTCTGTTCGCAGCCCACCATATGCACGTTTATTTAAAGCGTTTGTATTCAGAACGTTAAATGGTCAAACCGGTATTTTTTACAATATCGGCAGTACATTTGTTTTTGCAATGCTCAAGGATGGATCGGAGCCGAAAGGACAGGGTCGTGCGTGTGCTTCGTTGAATGCGGAATGGGTATAATTCAAAATTGACTGGAAGATGTAGGCAGAAGGGTGCTTTTGCGCCTTGATGACATGGACTTGTTAGAGGGCGGTGAATGGAGATTGCGGGCCGGGCTTCCAGATAAATTACATATATATTTATTAAATCAAACCCGAAAAAAACCCAACGTACTTAGATCTTAAGAAGAAAAAAAAACTTGTTTAAGTAATGATTTACATGTAATGTGCAATTAATGATTTTTAGTATTTATAACCGCATTTCTAGTGCGACGAAGGCTATATTTGAATATTTTTAACCAAAGTAATTTAAGAGGGTTGTGGGTGCTTTTTGTAATGTGTGATTTGCTTCCCCCTGGTTACTCCACAATATTTTCTTTTAAATACATGTTAAAAGTGTTCATTAAAATAAGCATGAATCTGGAGATGTGTTGCTTCAAGTGAAAATTGAATTTGTTGAACAGAGAGGATGTATTCTTTAAAGAAGAGAATGGCCGAGCGCGGAATTTTAGCTAGATTTGGGTGTGGATTCAGGTAGGTTATGGAATGAGTTGAAGGTATGCGAGTAGAGGCCACTAGGCCACTGGGTATTGGCAGAGGTTTGACATCTGGGATTAGAGAAAGGTAATGCATTGTCATATATAACGATTTTGTTACTAGTATATATTTTTGTTATTATATTTTATATTCTAATATTAGGAATAGAAGAAAGTACGGAGGAAAGAATGAAAAGCTTGAAAGCATGAATATACACATGTGGGTACAACATACCAACGTTTGTCAATGGCCATGTGATTTATCATTATATGATATATTTGGTATGTACAAGATAGTGCACTACAACGCCGTATATAAATCTCGCCAAAAAGCTCCCAAACTTATTCTTCATCCGTTCCTTTTTAACAATGAATGAAGAGGTCCCGTTTTTTTCCGGAACAAAATGTGTAAGCTTTAAAAGTGATCTATTGCTTCGGCGGAATGATATTCACTGGTCATTTGATTACACTGACTACTTTCCTATATTTGAACAATAGGAGCTAACTGCACAATAAAAGCTCTTAACAAAATATTACGGATAGAGAAAAACAGAATCCCTAAATAAAGCCCAACGCCACAAAATTTTAAAATGTTGCAGGCTCGGTTTGACTGAACACTAAGACACTGACATTCGAAAATAATTATAAATCACTTATTTTAACCAGCTGTACTAATTAATTATACCACTTTTGTATTTTGTATGAAAAACACAATCTTATTAGAAATATATACATGTTAGTCCTGTTCATAGTGGTATATTAATTACACACAACATATTAACAAGTTCCTTGAATATTCAAAATTTCAAAATCTTAAAAACATGAAATATATGACAATTAAAAATACACATATATATATATATATATATATATATATATATATATATATATATATATATATATATATATATATATATATATATATATATATATATATATATATGAAAGAAAAAGCAAAGGCCGCTGTGGTGTAGTGGTTAGCATACTGGACAGGCAATCCTGAGACCTGTGGTTCGTGTCCCAGCTGCGGCGTGCCGATTTTTCTATATATATATATATGTGTGTGTGTGTGTGTGTGTGTGCGCGCGCGCGCGTGTGTGTGCGTGTGCGTATGTGTGTGTGTGTGTGTTTCCGTCAGTTTCTTGTTCAAGGACATGCTCTATAAAAAGAAATACCACAACTGTAAAGAACGTACACACGTGATGAATTGATTTTAAAGCATACATATAAAAGTACAAACAGTACAATAGAAATGTACGCTAGAACATTGCGCGAGACTAAATATAAATGTAAATCAACTAGGATTCATTCACACAATAATAATTGTACTATGAATAATGATCAACAAGCCCGGTCAACCTTGAAGTTAAAGATGTACTGATATTTACAACTTGAACTCTATGGTGGCATCTTTTTTACAAACAACATGCCACTTTCCGCCGGAGTGACATGTCCAGTCATGCCATTTACCGTTGTAGAAATGTAATACGGCACAATTCTGGTGAATTCCTCCGGAAGGTTGACCATCCGCAAAGTTTCTGAAATATACATTTATATGATATTTATTTATGAAAACACATTTTCTTTGGTATTATCACCAATGTTTTTATAAAGTGATTATGCGCTGTATACTTTATTGATAAACTATCATGTGTGTTACCTTAAAGCTCAATAAGTAACTTAAAGTCATAAATAATGTGTACTGGTATTTTATATCGGTAGCAACTTCTTTGGGTTTTTTCCTGTTTTTGTCTTTCTATTTATCATTTGGTTTGTAAATAATTAGAACGCTATTTTGCCTTTCGTAATGAAATCTTCTTTTGTTTAAATTATAGGATGAAACTTTAGCATACGGTTCTGTTAGGCTTTCCGTCTATAAATGTACTAGACATATGCAAAAATTAATGTTATTCATTGCCCTAGTCTCTGCTATGTATCATAATAGGTCATAGTTATGTCTTAAGACATGTTTTCTACTTTTATTGAATATGGGACCTTGAGTCTGTATGGTTATCAAAAATATTTCAAAACAAAGAAATATCGAAATATGATAAGATGTGGTATTTATACCTTGACATACAGCAGTTATCTGTTTCCAAGACTACCGTGATCGAAAATACTACTACAAAGGAAAGTTAATGGTTGTATCAATTATCCAGTCATTAACACCGCCGTTACCTATTATAATTGTATCTTGTAGAAATACACAGACCGAAAGCAAGAAAGTTATGTATAACTACTAAAATGAATATCAGTCATATAAGATTTATCTAATGATTTGTGTATATATTAAGATTAGATCATATTAACGTACGTGAAAGAAGCAGGTTGGCCAGTTCTTTCTGAGATCCAAGTACCCTCTTTCTCCTCATCAGAGTAACCAATCCAAGCAAAACGCAAAACTTTTGGGAGATCAGCAATAACATCATTCTCTGCTTGATTCTTAAAATCAGCCACAGTTGCACCTAGAAGTTTACAATAAGCACGTGCTTCATCAAATTTCATTATATCTTCGGAAAACAAATAACAAAATGATGAATATTTTTTCCAGTCTGGTGGACATGTATAATCATATTTTTCCTCGTTTTTAGAAATTAAAGCATTTAAAAGGTTAGTTCGGGTTTCCTTTAGAGCTTCTATTTCTTTCTGCTGCGAACTCATAACCATGCATGCTTTGTTAATCTCTATATAAGCATCGGATTCCATTTTTGTCACTTGATCTAACCGATCGGAATGTTCACCCATCTGAGTAAAAAGTTTTTTTACTTGATCTCGTACCCATTGTTTCTCTCTCTTTAGTCCTAAGGTCATCATTACTCGACTTGACTGTAGAATTTCAACATTTTTTTCAGAATCACTCTGATCCTCTTTGACTCCACATTGGTCCATGATAGGGCACATTTGATTCTTAAGATTGATCATAGAACTGTTAAGGTCCTCAAAATTTTGTTGGAGCGACAAAAACATTTCTCTTGCCAGTTCATTGTCAGAATTCATTCGTGATTCAACCACACCAATTCTTTTTTCGATGATATCAACTCTTCCCCTTAAAGGTATTGAATCTACCATCAAAACACATAAGAATAAAAAACACAAATTGTGCATTATATATCCTGTTAACTTTAGCATTTTTTATTTTTGTTTTAAAAAGAGTATTTTGAGACTATGATTTGAAAGTTAATGTGATTATCATAACGAACAGGTTGAAGAACAGAAATAACTTTGAATTTTCTTTAGCAACAACACCGAATGTGATGTTGTTGAAACTATTTTCAATTTGGCAGACATTCAAGCTTACACAAATTGAAATGATCGGAATACCGTATTTATCCAAAATTCTTATGGAAGGAGAAAGCAAAACACCAACATGTATTTGAGATATAATCTACCATAATACAACCCTTCCGGGCATACCATATGACACGTAATCTGTGACGTTATTCAATGTTTTGCGTTGTACAATATGCCGTGTTGATTGTCGAGTGTTGCGTTTACATGGTGAAAATCAACTTTCAATGCGCACAAACCGGATTCCGTAGTTCCTTGTTTACATCAACATCGTGCGAAAATCATTTAAACTCGAAATGCAGCCAATAATAGCAACACTGTTGAAAAAAAAAACATCACACATAAAAAACCATATAGCCTTGAATTTTAAAACTTTCAGCTGTAGGTTAACAACTTGTTTATCTTTACAATTCTGTAATGTTGTTTTTGTGCATAATGGAACGGGTAATCAAGGTAGAAGGTTTCAGGCATTTATGTACGCGAAATAATTGAACATATTTCATAAGAATATATTTTTCACTCACTAGAAGCCACATTTTCTTTGCAGGAAAAGAAGGATAAATAGTTAATTCCGTAATTTTAAACCAGTCATGCAATTCCAATTATTTTGATGCATAATTTCAAATACTGTAATGCATAATTTCTATTTTAATATTGCCTTATTTTTTTATTATAATGCTTATTATTACAATGCTTAATTTCTATTATTATTATTAGGCCTAGTTTTCATTTTTGTATTGTCTAATTTCAATTTAAAATTATAATTAATGTTCTATTATTATAATTCCTAATTACAATCAATATTAAAACGCTTGATTTCTATAATTATCATGCGAAATTTTTATTACTATGTTCCCTAATTTCTATAATTGTAATACTTAATTTATGATTACAATGCCTAATTTCTATTATTGCTATGCGTATTTTCTATTAATATTACAATTCCTAATTACTACTCAACATTTGTAAAGGATCACTTTTTCTACAGTGCGTTACTTTTGAGTATTTGAAATAAATGTGAAAATTGATTAAAAAGAATTAAATATATTAGTTAGGAAGTGATTTTTATGAAAATAATGACAATGGAAGTTTTCCTTGACGTGTGCCTGTCGCGGAAAGAGTAAGCTGGAAAAAATCAACATTTTGGAGATCACATAGTGGAATAAAAATACATGCAAATCAGGAAATGGTCGGCGTAGGGTGTTAAATACCGAGTATGATGTCTGCGGGCATTAATTTTGACCTGGCATCGCCGCCGCATGCTGATAATGGCCTTGTGATGCGGTATCTGGGCCTATTCCTCTATGATTGCATGTCTTAACTTCTGTGTGAGCTGTTGTTGGTTGGACGTGGCTTTAAGAAATTGCTTTATGCAGCATATCTCAAGCATGCTCAATTGGATTTAAATTCGGGGACCTCGCTGGCCAATCAATGCGGGGCTATAGTTGCCTTCTCAAGATATCGGTTTGTGATGTGGGCTCTGTGTGCACGGGCGTTAACATCTATAAGAATGAAATCAGGACCGACTGCGAAAGTGCGTACATGGACGTCCAAGATTTCATTGACATACTTACTGCCGTCAGTGTACCGTTTTCAATGATGTGTAGGTCCGTTTTCCCCTGAGCGTTTATTCCCGCCCACACCATGACTGAACCCCCGCTAATTCGGTCGTGTTCTGCAACGCATGCTGGAGCTAAGCGTCCAAACCCTAGCCCGTCTGTCCGTGAAGTCCACACAAAACCAGGGCCCAATCACTAACTGTCCATGTGACATGAGTCTGGACCCATTGCAAACACTCTTGAATATGGCGTTGTGTCAACGGAATGCGAATTGCTGGTTTTCAGGACCTCAACCTAGCAGCATGCAACCTGTGCTTACACCCACACCAGTTCCGTTCTGGAAGTCGTTGCAAAAGGTCGTAGCGTTCGAGGACCGTTGGCGCCTGGCCTGAAGGACAATAAATCGGTTCTGGGCTTGAGTCGTTTCCGACCTCTGTCATGGCCCTGCAAGACATTTCCAGTCATTTGGAATCGGTTCCACATCCTGGAGCCAACGCTCTTGGAAACCCCAAGGACATGGGCAACTTTGTGAACGGCCAGCCTCTAACATTCCAATACCCCTGTTCATGTCATCTTCACTTAGACGACGTCAAACCTGTCGATTTGTCATAGTTTGTTGAATTCGAACACAGTTATACAATAAAATGAGAGAAGTCTTGCTGCTTGTACACGTTTTTAAGTGAAAGCATAAGGCCATAAAACACCAAATTTCTATGGGTATGCTTTTCCACGTGCTAATCGTGCAAGGTGTACATGACAAGTCGATAACTTAAGTACACGATTATGAGGTCTCCGTACAGGTGTATCGTTAGCGGAAATATGATTTTAGTATGATGATAATAGGACTGAAACATGCAATGTCAAAAAGGTGATCCTTAACAAATTTTTAGTTGTATAATTCAATACCTAATTTCTAATCCTATGTTACTTTATTTCTAGTAAAAGTTTCTTTTTAATTGATTGTAATGCTTGATTCTGTTATTATAAAGCTTAATTTCTATTTTTATAATGCTTAATTTTTACTATTGAAATGCCTATGTTTATAACTATAAGGCCAAATGTTTATTTTTTTCCACAGCCTTATTTGTTTTAGAATAATGCCTTATTTCTATTTAGATCATAAAACTTAATTTCTATAATAATAACGCCTACTTTTTATAAATAAAATGCCTAATTGCTCTAAATATTATGGCTATTTTTTATAATTTAAATGCTTAATTCTGTTACAATAATGATTAATTTCTATTATTATAATGCTAGATTTCTATGATTATAATGCCTTATTTGCATCGAAATGTTTTGATCTGTGATAACAATTCTTTATTTCCGTCATAGATGTCAGAGAAATGCGTTTTTCTGTCATAAAAACGTAGCAATCCGTCATAGTAAAATTTCTTTCAAAGGAAAGCCTGTTTTCTTTCCTAAACAAAATGTCTGATTACCGTCTCAGAAATGTCTGTATTCAGCCAATCTGTCAAGAAAAATTATGATTTCCTGTATTGGATTTTCGCAAAAGAAATGCCTGATTTCTGTTAAAGAAATATAATATTAATACCCCCAACAAACGAAGTTTGAGGGATATACTGGAGTCAGCTTGTGGTCGGTCTGTTGGCTGGTCGGTACGTCTGTCCGTCCGTTGCAGATTTCTTGTCCGTGACATAACTCAGAAGAGTTATCAACTACAAATTGTGTAGGTTGATACATTTGAATGAGTAACATTAGAACCGTAACACTTCCTTTCCTTTTTTTGGAGTTACTCACCTTTGTTCATTTTTACATTTTGAACATTGTCCGTGACATAACTTGAGAACTATAAAATATATCAACTTAAAATTTTGTAGATAGATGAATCTCACTGAGCTGAACTGCAGTGAATAAGAACGGTAAAACTCCCTTTCCATTTTTTGGAGTTATTGCCCTTTGTTCATTTTTACACTTTGAACTTTATCCTGGACATCAGTTGAGAACTATCAAAGTGATCAACTTAAAATTTTGTTAATAGAAAGATATCACTAAGTAGGAGTGCATTACAATCATTTCCAAATTTTTGGAGTTATTACCCTTTGTTAATTTTAACACTTTGAACCTTGTCCTGGGCATCACTTGAAAACTATAAAAAGTATCAACTTAAAACTGTGTTGGTAGATAGATCTCACTGAGTTAAAGTGCAGAAATCTCAGGGAGAAAGAACGTATAGCCCTTAAAAAGGTCATGAAAACTCCAATCCAAACTTTATTTATATTTTTAATGTAGGAAAAATAATATAAAAAATAGAAACAATCTATCAACACCATCCTTGTGCGTGCAAATAGTTAACTAAAAAGCATGTTTTCTGACAAGCGCGTGTCGGGGGTTTTGGTACTTGTGACAAGCTCTAGTGTTGTCATAAAATGCCTGATTTCTGTAAAATAATGTCTGATAATTGTCATAAAATAGTCTGATTTCTGTCACAGACGTGCCTAATTCCCGACAAACACTAAGTTACCAGTTTTCTTTGTTAACTCTTCCTGACTAGAAAATATAAAAATCTTATTAGGATTTCATTAACTCCTATCTATGTCTAAGTAACTCTTTAGTAGGACTTAGGACTTTAATCTTAGAATTACAACTAAAAATCTCCTTATAAAATCTTAGTTACCTCATTAGGAAATAATAACCTTCATTTAGACTAGGTCTTATCAGGACAAAAAATCCACCAGGAGCTGTCTTGGCGGGAGAATTATACGGCATGAGCTGTCTTTGGAGGGAGCTTCATACGGCATTAGCTGTTTTTGGAGAGAGCATTATACGGCAGGAGTTATATTTAGAGGAAGCTTTATACGGCAGACGATGTATTTAGAGATACTTTATACGGCAGGAGATATCTTCAACGGGGCCTTTTTACGACAGGAACTATTAACATAGCTTTATTCCGAGTTAGCTTTATATGGAGTTAGCTATATCCGACTGAAGCTTACCTCCGGTATTCTTCGGGAGCTTAATTTGAAAAAAGCTATATTCTATTGGAGGGATATTCAAGAGAAGCTCTATTTGCCATGACAAATTTTATTGAAGCTTAGAGATCACTCGTTGTCTTCTTACTCTTTTACCTGTTGCACCAACGAAACTTACTTTTATTAATTGAAAAAGACAAAAATTTTAAACAAGTTTTCAATTACAGTCACACTCTCGTTCTGTTTAATAGTTATTTATTCGATCTTTGTATTGAAAATAAAATATAAAGCTAAAAAGTTAAAAAAAAAATGAAAAAAGAGAAAATTTAAAGATTAACGTTTATTATGATGATGCAGTTGAGCATTATCAATGATTGAAACTGAACATAGAACGACAATATTTTTTTTAATGTAAGCCTTTAATGATACAGATTCTGGTATTCACATCCGCGATTATTTAAATAAATAAATCTTAATTTGTTTTAACAAAGCACATCATTCCATTTATCGTGAGGATCTTCTAATCCAGTTGCAACGTAATTTTGGCATGTTTATCCGCTAGGTTGTTCGTCTCGAAGTTTCTGAAAATATACGTTTTATATATATTTATACACATAAATTTCTTGCATATTACATT